AAGGAGGTTTATGGGGTTATGAGAAGTATATTGTCTCTTAGCATTCAATTAATTGCTTGGGGTGTGATTTTCTTCAAAAAAAAAAAAAAAAAAAAAAATTTGCTTGGGGTGTGATCTTGCCTTGTATTAAATCATGCTAAACGTGATTAATGGGGACAGAGCAAGAGCTTGGTTCTACCTCCTAAGGCTCTATCCATCTAATTTATGGTGATGTTCGTAAAGATAGCTGCCATTTGATTTTTGTAACTTTTCTCATGTTTAATGGGCTTTATTAGTAGCAAAGTGGGATATTAGTAACTTTTTTTTTTTTTTTTTTTTTTTTTTAAAGAGAAGTGGGATATTAGTAACTTATTCGAACATGTTTGCATCTGTTTCTCCCCTCAGAGTATTTTTAGTTTGACCGAAATTGATTTGACTTAATAGCAAGTCCGTGCTATGTTTAATTATTTGATTTTTTTTTTCCTTTAAATTTGTAATAGATTTGAATCATATTGAGTTAGCTAATAATTATTTCTCTGTTTTTAGTGTTTACTTGCAATACTTCTCTTTTCACATTCATCAATCTACTATTTCATATTATCAATATGCAAAAATTATACTGTAAAATTTTAATAGTATGAAAGTATAAATCAAGACAAATTTAACAAGATACCATATAACTAAAATTATCTTTAATAATATAAAACTCAAAATATTACAAGGAAAATAAAAAATAAAAAATATAAATAAATAAATAAATAATAATAATAATAATAATAATAATAATAATAATAATAATAATAATATTCTTGGACGGGTTGTGGCTGATGCAGCTCATCGGAAGCGGGTTAAGTATGAGGCTCGTTGTCAGGCGATTGGATATGGGTTCATTCCCTTCTCCTTTTCTTCGTTTGGTGAATTAGAGAAGGAGGCCGTTGCGTTGCTTAAGCGAGTTCAGAGGTTCTTGATGACGCAAGACATTGGAGCACGTGCTGCAACTCATATTTTTACTAGGGTAGGCTTTGCTATATTATAGCTAGTGGAATGGGGGCCTAGATTGTATCTCGGCTTCCCACTAGTTTATTGTAGGTTGTATGACTTTTTGTTTTTGAGATATAATAATAATAATAATAATAATAATAATAATAATAATAATAATAATAATAATAATAATAATAATAAATAAGGAAGTATTATTCATAGCAACCCAATTATTAAGCCACTTCCTTTGTGGGATTAACCTTTATTTAACCCGGTACGTACATTATTAAGAGGATAAGCTAGGTTTTGTATTTTTTTATTATAAGTGTACAAACACCTGTAAAATAATCTCGTACGTCATTGCTAAGGACTAACAATGTTTGGATTAGTTATTTTATTAATATTTGAAAAGCTTTTGATTTAGTTACATGCACACTCGATATGAATTACTTCTTGTTGACATGGGATATCAAAGTCAAAGTTACTGTACATTTAAGCAAGGAAGTAGAATCATGAGACTGACAATGAATGTTATAAATTTTGAACTGAAACCACATTAATATATTTTACTTCATTAAAACATTATCATAGTCATATTTTATTTCTATTCAAAAAAAAAAAATAATCATATTTTATTTTACCGTTAAATTTTTTAATGATTCATAGCCTCCCAATGATTTTGTTACGAGCGATATTGTTGTTTTCTTGAAGAAAAGTGACACCATATTTCATAAATCTATGAGACAGCGCAAAAGAGTAGCAAAGAGTTGCATGTGATCGAAAGTTTGATACAAGGGAGAAATTGGTTGGTTAGTGTCTTCCTAGCTAGTGAAATTCTTGGTCAAGAAAAGACTCCACGCTAAGATTACAAGATCTTTTACTAAAATGGCTAATTTAACAAAAATGTTTTCCAAAACGGCTATTATAAATTTTGATTCCAAAACGAGCTAAAGACTTGAAAGACAATCATTTATTTTTTTTATTTTCCTTTAAACTAGAAAGGTTCCTTTTTTGGGGTTTTTCTTTTTTATAATTTTTTTTGGGTTTATTTTAAATTTTCCTTTTTAAATAAAAAAATTATTTTAGTTGGAAAATTTAAAAGCCAGTAATTTTGTACTTGCCTTTAAATTCCATCTTATCTACATTTCCTTTTTTTTGGTTTTTTTTTTCAAAATTTTGTTTTTTGTTACTATTTTTGTTTTTTGTTTTGTTTTGTTTGGAATATTCTAAAGCTGTAGTTTAAAATATCCATTAATTTGGAAAATAACATTCACCCTAATATATTTGCAACAATTTTCAAATTTTTTTTTTTAATAAAGTTACAAAAAAAAATCACTTAAAAAATTGTTCCAAACTTACAATTAACAAAAATTTGCCGACATTAGCGGAGAGCATACAATTAACAAACATAAAAAAGATGAATAATACCTTAAAATCTCTTATCGCCGTATAAATTTGCAGTTGTGTTGATAGAACAATACTACTTCAAATTCCTTTTTTTTTTGTGATACAATCAAGACAAAACAAAATGTTTTTTTTTTTCTTTTTTCTGGTAATCTTGAATTGAAATTAGGGTTTCTTATGAGTGAATTTTTTTGAATAGCTTATGAGTGAATTTATGTATGTTTGTATACAGCTTTAAAAATTTCCAACTAAAAAGCCTAAAAATAAATTAAAATAAAGCCAACAATCCAAAAAAAAAAAAGTTCAAGGGATATTAAGAAATAAATAATTTCCTTCCTAGTCAGTATTTTAGCTAGTTTTGTAATTAAATTTTACAACTAGCCGTTTTGGTAAATACCTTTGTAAAACTAGCTATTTTGTTGGTAAAAGATCCAAGATTACACAATCTTTACCACAACAAAATCTATTAATTAAGCTAAGATTTTTTTTTTTCCAGCCAATGATAACTATCATCTAAGTGGTTAGAACAACATTAAGAAATAAGAAGAGAGGTAAATATGATGTTGATGCTATCACAATATATGTTGGATAGTCTGTCGTGCACAGGCATTATCTACAAATTCGCGTCGATTGATATTGATTTGGATCATCTATAGCAACCTCATGTCAAATTTATGGAGGGTAAGGTCATACTATATTGTGAATAGATGTCAAATTAATTAATTGATGTAACAAAGATCGATGGGATAGAAGACATTTAAACATGACAATGCCCTTTACTATGTACTTCAAGTCTCCAATCAAAAGTGGCTATATTTTAGTCGGTAAGATATGACTATCACAGGAGGAGTGGGGGTGAGGATCAATCTCATGCCACACAGGGAGAGATGGAGGGGCTAACCATCCCTCTACTCCTTGAGCCTGAAAAAAAAAATAATAAATAAATAAAAATAAGCGACAATATTATCCTTACTCTAATGCAAACAATCACGAATTTTAACAAAAATAATTAAGATAAACCACCCTGAACAACTTCAACATGCTAGATTTCAATCTAGGTCATACATTTCCTTGCAAAGATCAATTATTTATCAGGGTAGGAGTTCTTCTTTGCATAGTTGAGCTAATGGTAAAAGCTAGCTTATGTTTTTAATATTTAATTAATAATTGAAAATTTTAATTTTCCATGATTTAATTGCAATGGTTATTAAATAGTTCAATTTACTCATCATCGTCATTTGTTTGTTATTTACTAGTAATAGTCTAAGGTCCTGTCTTTATTATTTTGAGCTTTTGAGCAGAGTTATCAGAGTTTAGCAAAGTTGTGCGAACTAGGTGTTAGTAGAGCAGAGCATATTATTAATATTCAGCAAAACAAAACATAACAGACCACAACAGCTCAAAGAACAAGGTCTAAGTCAACTTAGCATTATCAAATTTAATTTTGTGCTAGCTTTTGATAATTTGACCCTTGATTGCCCGAATACACAAGTTAACTTTCATTTATGCTTAATTTGCAACGTGCTTATTGAAGCTATTTGTAAATTAATACTTCCTTCATTTTTAAGTACTTGCTACACACAGTTATTCACAATATTTAAGAAAAATAGGGTTCACATGATTTAATACAATTTAAAATGGAGTGAAAATTTGTTAGGAGTATAATTTAGTGGGTCATGAGCTTTAAATAAGCAAACAATTTCCTCCCAAAATAACTTTCCAATTATAGTGTGTTGCAAATATTTTGACATTTTCATTTTATAGAAGTGTTGAAAATATATTAAAAAAAAAATGGAGGAAGTATGCAATAAGTTTCAAATTGGAGACATCACTAGTAATTGTTAACCAGCTTGATCATAGAAATTAGTTGAAGGAAACATAGTATATATTATTTATATTTATTTGTAATTAGCATTATTAGATTAGTTTTAATAGATTAGATTTTTGTTTAATCAGTTATAATATATAATTTTAATTTCATGAACACAAAGTTTTATGTATGGTTGACCACAATAACGTATGGCTGACCTTACTTGGTCAGGGATCACACGGTCGGTTAGGGATTACTCGATCTAGGATTGTTTGGTCAATGGTTACTCGATCGGTCATGGGTTACTCAGTCGGTAAGTTAGAGGTCGCTAAAAGTCAGCTAGGGGTTATCCGGTTAGTGTTTTGGTGTGTTTCAGCTGGCCACATGATTACTTATTCCATTTTAAATAATATTGCATTATCTATTCATGCTATTATGTTGTAAAAAAAAAATGATTGGCTAAAAAAGTTTGTTTCCATAGTATCAATTTTTCATAACTTCACTATTTTATTTGTGTTCTCGAGTATTCTACTTGGTTGGGTTAATAGGTGCCTAGTTCAGTACTTACCACGTCCTAATTAACTAATTAATGAAATATATATAGGGTAATAAATAGGGTTATTCTCCATAGAAATCAATAAAGCATAAACTTCAAATAATCCACTAGGTAATGAAATGGTATTTGATGAACAATCTAATACTAAGGTAGGCTAGGGTTATGAATTTCCCACTAGATAATCAAAACAAGTCATCATTCCAACATAAAATCATACAACACAAGTAAGTATAATTGGTATATGCCTCCTTTTTTTAATTCCACTTTGAGTTATTGCCGGCGAAGATTTCAATTCACAACCTCTATTCAAAATTCAACTTTCGTCAACCCTTGAGGTACAATATCGATTTTGTCATACAAAGATCGTAAATGTCTACTATCTAGATAGGTACTCCTCTAATCTTAGGCATAACAATCCTCTTTTACAACACACAAGACATCAAATCTGGCCATACGTACTAACCTCTCTCGAGGATCGTTACCTCTTTCAAGATCTCACAATCGAGCATAGGTTAACTAGCTAGGTAACAACAACCATACCATAAAAGCCCCGTTGGTCCATTTCCAACGAGGCTTTTTTATAGTTCATTTGGATTTTATAAGGGCATTGATCGAATTGATGGCTTGCTTCATTTTTTCCTCTCCTTTTCTTCTTTTCTCTTTCTCTTCTTTTATTCTTCAATTCTCCTTCTCTTTGGTAAAGAAGTAATGGTGATGATAAAGTTGCTTCCATTCCTCTAATCCTCCTTTTCTCTTTGATGCTTCAATTCAATGTCGTCTACTCTTTTCGACTTCTCCATTGCACATAAACCTACAAAAGGAGGAACATTTACTCCAATAACACAAATGCATCAAGGGTAAACAAGGCAAGGAGAGAAAAACGAGTATGCAAAAAAATCCCTAATGAAAGGCAAGCTAAAGTGCTCTAGACTAGGTGATTATTACTTATCCTAAATAAACCTAAGAAGCTAATAAATGAGTATAAAACTCATTTCACATGCATAGTTGCATACTACTACTCACTTTTCATTGTTATTATCCCTTCTTCAATTTTTTGTGAAAGATCTATAATGACTTTTCTGCGTTACAAATGCTCCGTGCATTATTATCACTGATTTAGTATTTATATAATTGAGGAAATTGAGCTTATCATTCATTTAGTTATTAAGGGTGCTATAGTTTTGGGGTACAATGCAAGTTGCATTTTTTTTTTAATGAACTACAATGACTTGTTTAATTTGATTGATATCTACATCATATTAATTACAATGAACCTCATAATTTACAAAAATAAAATAAAATAAAATAAACTTGTGTACACTATAAAAATTAAGTTATTAATGGAGTATAAAATATATCTTTGCATTCTACTACCGGTATCCCTTTGCTTGAGATGGTCCTCTAATATGATATTAGAGCCAACGTAATACAAAAAGGTCACACGTTCAAATTTTTCATACTCCCCTCATTTCATAGTGGAATATTAAGCGTTGGGTATGATGAGACCAATTTTATTACTAATATTTGATAATTATTTTGTTTTCTAATCTAAGTCCCTCTATATAAGGAATTAGAGAGGACCACTTCAGGGGTTTTATGAGACTCGAATGGAATAAGTCACAATGGCCTCATCTTCTTCCTAGTACCAAATATTATAGGTAAATAGTATGGAATAAGCCGATAAGACCCTGTAATATAAACAAGTTAAGTATCAAAACTCTAACTCTAGAATCAAGAAATTTACGAGAATTATCATCCCACAAATTATTAATAAAAAAAATTGTTTTCTTATATTTTCTTCCCTCTTAATTTATTTGTATATTGTATATGTTTGAATTTCAATGGATTACAAATTGGCACTCTCGGTGGGAAAGTTTTCGCTCTTCATTTCCACTCTTCCAAGTCTCAAAATAAATGTGAAGAATCGACGGCCAGGGGAATAATGTGAAGTTTGCTTTCAAATTCTATAAGAAAATTTTGAGACCAGGATGCATTTGATCTGATGTCAAACCACGCAACAGGTTTCGAGGGGCAATTTATTGACACTGGAATTTTGTTAATTTTTTTTAGGTGTCAAATATATATAAATAAGGAGACAATATCATAAATATATATATATATATTTATATATATATATATATATATTTATATATATATATATATAAGATTTTATATTCAAAATCTCATTGATTATTATAAATATCTTGTTCTCTGATCTAAGTCCTGCTATATAAAAAAAATAAAAAAATAAAAAAATAAACATGGATCACTTTTAGGGTTTAATAAGCTAGGCTCAAATGGAATAGTCACAAAGACCCAATTTCCTTCCTACTATCAAACATTGTAGTTTGTAGGTTCATAACATGAAATAAGCCGGGCAAGACCCCACATTATAAACAAGTATATCACAACCTAATTCTCCGGAAAGAGAAATCAAGAGATCTAGAAGAGTTGTAATTTCACAAATTATCAATAAAAATATTATTTTCGTGTATTTTCTTCCTTCTTAATTTATTTTTGTATTGCAGGTTTGAAATTTTAATGGATTGCATGTACATACTCTTTAAGCCTATCAGGCTCACATATGAGGGGGTGTGTTGAGATTATCTTCTAACAATTACCCTTTGCAAATATAATTAACAAGTTTTACTCTACAACTAGGTTAGGTCTCGTACCATGCACGGTATTTTAAATATTAATTATTATTTTAACACTATATTAATTATGAAAAGTATCTAATTGCAAAATAAGATGAAAAATTCGTAATAACAAAAATAAAAATAAAATTATATCATACAGTAGAAAATAATTGTTGCACAATGTGTGTGTATAAATGGAATCGAATTGGCAAATAGTAAGAAAACATTATTAAATAGTATTAAATAATATCTAAGAAGTTTTGGCAAAAAAAGGGATTTTTGATGCAATATAACGTAAAGATGGTTTTTTTAATTCATTTCGTACTGTAAATTAAATCCATTTGATAAATCCATTTGATAAATCCATTTGATTGTAATAAATCGAGAGAAAAAAAAAATCATTTTAAGCAAATAATATTAAACTTATTACTAAGAATCTTGAATTACTATTATAAATTTATAATATATAAATTAAATATGTATCATTTTATTATTTAAAATAAGTTGTCAATAAAAAAGAAATAAAGAGAAAAATAAAATTAGAATATACTACGTATTTATTTTTGGAAATTGGTTATTGGAAGGAAAAAAACAACATTAGGATGGAAGTGACATGTGTTATTTCCGATGTATATTTTATTACTCCGTATTATGTTATTGATCGATTGAAAGAGAAAATTAAAACTTAAAATAATTAAGTAATTAATTAACCCAAAGTCCTTTCTCCTCCTCTTCCTTCAGTTTACATCCCAAATAATGAATCTACATATTACTTCCTTTAATAGATGCTAATCGGACATCAAAAATTCTCTAAGCTTAAGGCCTGTTCACATTTACTTAATTTCAGTTCAGTTCAGTTCAGCTCCAATCAGTTCAGTTCAGTTCAGCTCCAATCAGTTCAGTTCAGTTCAGTTCAGCTCCAATCAGTTCAGTTCAGTTCAATTCAGCTCAATTCAGTAAATGTGAACATGCCCTTAGTGCATGCATTAATTTGAATCATTTGATTGATTATTAGTTTGATTTTTTTTTATTAATTTTTTTTATTTTTATTTCCTGATCTGTTAATGGCATTCACTCATTTGTTTGTCTTTCAAGTATTATTGTATTGCCCTATATAGTTGTTTTTTAATGATATTTTTTTGGGGTGTTTAGAGAGTCTCGTACAAGGACAAGCGATGAGAATTGATCCCAAATAACTACAACCGAGAGGGAGGTCTAACCACTTAAATTATTCTTTACTCTGATAATAATTATTTAGTGAGTTTTTTTTTGTTTAATTGCTCAGTTTGGGTTAGAATACTAATAATATCGGGAGTACACATATATATACATGGTGAAATTAACGATATTATTAGTATTCTAACATGCATGAGCTTTAGCATAGATTGGTAATTTATCTACAAGTCACGTGCAAGCCTACAACTATACAAGGTATGACTCAATAAAATTGTTCTTAAAATTTTCTTTCTTTTTAGTCCTAAATCAATCAATATTCTATATTATACATATTTGAAGGACACCTATTTTATCAATGTGATAGTTATTTGATAGGCATCTATTACAATTTGCAAAGTATAATTTGTAAATGATTGTAAATATAGCAACAATGAAAAATAAACATACATTAGCTGTAACGACATCATATCAAATTTACACAGTGGTAGCACCCCCATAGGCAAGAAGCTACGTAAAATACTACTCGTACAAAGTAACATTAATATTTATTGCTTGCTAAAGTTTACTACTGATCAGTACTTTTTTTTTTTTTAAGGCAACTACTAATCAGTACTAGTCTACTTGATAATTAATGAACTTCCAAAAACAAAAGGCTAAAGTTAATTTATTATTATTTTTTTCCTTCTTTTGTTTTAATTTTTTTCACAAGAAATGTAAAATGCATGCGATTTGTAAAAATAAAAATAAAATAAAATAAAAAAATAATTTAAAAAAAAAACCTCTGACTATTAAACTATTACCCATTGGCATATATAACTATATGGTGCACCCTTTTTTCGACATAGCTCATAGACTAAGAATCTAATACAACCTCCGATTTTTTTTTAATTACAACTTTGGAATATTTTATATCTTACAAATAATATCCCAAAGTTGCAACTAAAAAAAATCGGAGATAGTATGATTCACAACAAGCAAACAAAATTAGTGTTCGAGGCCGGAATTGAGGGTACTCATATAATGGTTACTAGAAATAAGCTTATCATGTATGTTACTCATATGTGTACATTTACAAGTCCGCGTTGTGGAGACTAAAAGTCTTATTACTTCATAATTGTTAACTATAATTGATTTAAGCAAATGTGTACTGTTACCACTTTTGCTTCTATATATATATATATATGCACTTCAATTTGAATTGTAATTTTTTGTTTGAAGTTTACGATGTGTTTATTGTTTATGTATTCATTAATGCTTGAGTCTCTTAATTGTACGCTTGTCTCATATAAAGGTCTCGACCCTTCCACATATCCTCTCGAGTCTCTAAAAACTCCAAAAAAATATCGAACACTAACCATAACCGAGGGAATAAATAATTAATAATATAGTATTATTATTGAAGTGAAGATTTCACCACCTCGACCAAGAACTAACCATAAATCATGATTCCATTCTAGATGACTCTTCACATTTTTGTTTCTTTCCTTTTTTTTAATATTAGCTCGTGGAGAGGTCCATCTAACGAACAAATTAAATAGAATTTTAACAAAATTTAATTGTTTGTTGATATAAAATGATAGATACCTAACAATAATATCACCTACTATAATTAGTAACGTTAGAATATTTTGCATGCATATCTACGTGCAAGTTTCCGTCAACATATTCAATTGTATAATGACAACCCCCTATATATTAGCTACATATAATATTCTCGACTTTTATTTAATTTATGAAAATAAAATTTGTGTGCATCTATAAGTCTGCAATCACATCATAACCACCTTCTGTATTTCCATTGATGACTGATATATATATTTTGCTTAACATTAAGTTGCAATGTCACTCATAGGGCCATAATTCGTCATAAAAATCATAAATAATAGTGATTATTTCCTCAAGAAATCTGCCATGTGGCAATATATTTTGAAAATTTTAAATTTCAAACATGAAAATTAGTGGCTCTTTGTGAACAAGGAATATATTTTTGGGACATTTCGTCGGCAGAGGTGATATAACAATGTTTTCATACATTAATATGCTATTTAAATGTTAAATTGGAGTGTGTATCGTGTCTTGTATAAGAAGAGCCACGACACGTACGGTTCATTTATGTGTAGACAAGATTCAATTGTAGCCTTAGCAACTAGCTAGTTAACTGGGTACTTATGTAGTAGTGTAAATGTGTAATACTGTTAAGACTTTACTAACCAGTAACCACAGTAGATGACATCCATATATTTATATTATTCTAGATGAAATTGATTAGTTGTAACCATTGCGTAAATAGATTGATACATGCATGGCATGCATGTCAAGACTAGTTAAGAATCTATACAATCAAGCAAGTAGAA